TCCAGAGATGTAAAAAAGTCTATGAACTCCAATCATAATCGACTTAATTTTAACACATCCCATTGTATCTATCTTTTGTAAATGAAACACTTGTATGTAAACAAAATTTTAATTTTTGTACAAATTTGCATGAAAAGTTAGTTTTCAAATAGTTTCTGATTTTTGAATTCTCTAATTTTTTGATGGATTTTTACCTAGAAGTCTCCTCTTTCTACTCAACTAAACCAATTTTCTACATTATTTTTTTTCCTTTGACATTTCACTTATTTTCTGCAAGCAGCAGCTCAAAGTTGCCTATTCAAACCAATGCTAAAAATATCAATTTTGGCCAACACCTTCTCAATTGAAATGCCAATATCTTCTTTAAACAAAATAATGTACACTTTTCTTCAACTGATATTGTTTCATAATACCTCATTGTTTCTCACTGTGAAAAAAGTTCTGATGTAAAAAATCAGGAAAATATAGAAAATATGAAGGAAAAGTACACTCAATAATGCAGAAAATATCTATTTTTTATTAACTGATACCTTTAAAATAGGAACATTATGTCCAAATAAATATGATTCAGCAAGTCTTTAACATCATAAGATAATTAGGTACTGGGTCCAAACAGTGAAATGTAGGTAGAAATCATAGATTTAAAGCTTACCAGACAACAAGAAATAGCCTTCAAACACCACAGCCATATTTTCTAAGACAGATTTTATTACCACTACGCATGTGCAAGAACACCAGATGTGTGATTAATGGCTTTCTACCAGTGACAAGCGAATTGCACAGTTTAGGCCTTGTAGGTTTACAGTGACACAATTCAAATTCTGAGATCTATATACGACCACTCTTTAAGCATCTTTTCTCAGTTTGTACTGCAATCCAACATATGGTAACTCATGAAAATGATAGTCAACTTCATTTCAGTATAGAGTATTTGCCTTTCGTAGTGCCTTCTTTGGATCCATCGGCCTGACATGGTCATTTTTTACGGTAACTTGATTATTTGAAGTAAAATGATTTGCTGAAGATGAGGCTAAATACATATGATGGTATAGACTGTGGATTGTTCTACCCCCTTTAGTCGTTCCAAAAGGTAAGTTGAGTGTATCTTGAAATACGAAAATGCAAAATTTGATTCTTTATTTGAATAAGAGTTATGGCTATCTGATGCACCTACAGTAAAACATGTGTACAGTGAACATATATGGAGCCCAAAAATGTGTTTCCAGTTGGTAGATGTTCACTCCATACAGGCAATTTCATACAGAAGTCAGAGGAATATTTTATAAGAAGAGGTGTTCACTAGAGAAAGATATTCATTGATACAGGTTTTACAGTGCAGCATGTTTACCAAGACTTTTTTTTATAAAAATTTAGTCTATGCAAAACGATGAATTTCATGAATTTCAAATAATTACAAATTAAATCTGTATTGGGATCATCTTATATACAGTAATATCATGTGGTAAAAGGTTATACATCTATCAAAATGCAGGATGTCTGTGCGCTATTTCGAATAAATTCATATTAGCCCTATTTACACTACACGTGACATTTCAAGACGTCTTGGCGAAAATGTATCAGAAATATTATGTTGAGTTTACACGTTGTTGATTCATGTTAATTTCAGTACAAACCTCCGTGGTCGTTTTAATATCTCAGATTTACATTACCCCAGATCTCCAAGAGGCTACTTGTCATAATTTAGGAAAGTGATTTGTGACGTTCTCTCTTCTAAGGGTACTTTTAAAAGATATAATTTGAATCTTAGATTCTTAATGTAGTTTACAGTTAAAGCTGCTCCGTCACAGCTGACAAAAAATGTAAACATTATTTTTTATAAAAATATCAAAAATACCCAATACATCAAGATATCATTAATACCTTCAGAGGTATGCTGAAAACATATGTAAATATTATCGTATCACTACATTGTACCATTAAAAAGAAATAAAAGAAATGGTACATTTTGGAGTATGATACCCCGGCGCAGTTTTCAATAGCTTTTACTCTTAGCGTTGTTAGACTTCAAACAAAAGTTAAAGTTACCCGCAAATGATATACCCATTGCATGGAGTAATAAATTTTCTTTGGAATAGCGAAACATATGAGTAAAAAAATAAATTGTCTGGGTTTCTTAGTGTTTCTATGCAAAATAGCACGCTCCGTCACAGCGGACAAATTTTTCGATACCAGCCTGTGAATCTAATGGTCCCTTTGTTGAACATAATATGTATAAAGTATGAAACCAAATCTACTGTTCCCTTTGTGAACCTGGCATGTATTAAGTATCGAGCACATTTCAGTCTAGTGGTCCCTTTGTGAACCTGACATGTATAAATATCGAACACAATACAATCTAGTGGTCACTATGTTGAACATAATATGTATAAAGTATTAGAACACAATAAAATCTAGAGGTCCTATGATGAACCTAATATGTATAAAGTATCGAACACAATCTAGTGGACCCCTTAAGCATAACATGTATAAAGTATCAAACACAATACAATCTAGTGGTCCCTTTGTTGAATCTGACATGTATAAAATATCGAACAGCATACATTATAGTGTGGTCCCTATGTTGAACCTAATATGTATAAGATATATCGAACACAATCTAGTGGACCCCTTAAGCTTGCTGAACTTGCTGCATGTATAAAGTAACGAACAAAATACAATCTAGTGGTCTCTTTGTTAAGTATAACATGTATACAGTATCGAACACAATATAATCTAGTGATCCCTATGTTAAACCTGACATGTAAGAAGTATCAAATACATACAATCTAGTAGTTCCAATGTTGAACATGGTATGTTTACAGTACCAAACACAATAAAATCTAGAGAACCCTATGTTGAACAAGTTACATGGTATTTTTCAAATCACCCCCACAACTTACTACTTGTGTATTGAAATCTTGGGATTTTAACACGTTATCAGTAGTCGACACAAAGCTAAGTTTCATCTAATTAATAACTAATAACTAATCTAGCTTGTTTTCCACCGCAAGATTTCAATACACAAGTAGTTGTGTAGCTTTGCCGAAGTCGGTATTTTAGTGACCAAGCTGTTAGGTCAAGGTTATACTTGTAAAAAAACTTAAGAAATCTTTTCTAGGCTTTACTGAAAAGTACAAGTCATTAATTTTGAAATTTCAAATTTTATCACTTGAGATGCTGAAGGATGTAGGAATTGTATAATAAATTTGCAATGAACTCACTTGGCACCTTTTGAGGTGGATCCCGGCTATGACATTAATGGTTGAGAAATAAGGATCGAAACCAGCCATAGTTTTCTCCTGATGACCATTGTGAATTGTTGTGTTTTATGGATTATGATGACGGCTTTGCGAACGGATGTTGACCCTTTGAACTGCCCATGGACTTCGAGACAGGATATTATATATCCCACATCATTTGAGACTGAATACTCTATCTTTTATGAGTACTAGTATCTACAACTATTTTTGATGTTATGAATATTGGCTGTCAATTTTTCAATTTTTCTTCAACATGTATTGTAATGACTTCAGTATGAATGAAATGTCTCTTGGTGTTCTGGTCCTGGATTGTGATATTAGTTCTCGATTGGAGGGGGAGGGGGATTTTAGACATTGTTTCTTTTCACTTAGATCATGGTTTTGGGATATATAGGGTCTACTTTTCTTATGACAGATTTGCACTTACAGTTTGCTTTTCTTGTTGGGTTTCTTTAAAGTTTTTAGTCACCCTTCCCTTTTGGCATTTGTGCCTATATATTCAGTGATTGATATGAATCTCGGCCTAGATGTAACAAATATGTTCGACAATTTCAGAGATCTTTTCAACGTTTCTTGTTGAAATCTCACCTCCGGGTATCCGATTGATGCTCCGGCATCCACTAAACTCTGATTGATATTTATCTGATAAAATATACGATTTCATGATGAATTGTGCAAGATTTGACGGAGGATTTGTTCGTCAGTGAAAAGTGTACTTGTCTTGACCGTGCACAAGGGGGGGGGGAGATTTCCCAAAGATGACCTATCATATTAACACGTTCAAAAAGCAAATCTTCTAAACAGGCCTCAATTTGACGTTGAAATGGATCTCCAAATGTTCACTGTAGTTTTATGAGTATTCTCTACAAGTATGGATCGAGTAACTTCAATAGTATTACCGTAGGTTTGAAATGATGATGTTGAGCTGATGTTAACGCCATTCCCATGATTTCAAATTTAACTTTGCGCATGCACAGCACTGAGAGAGCACGTGCTCATGATTGTTCACGTGATCGAATCCGCAATTTGATTGGAGATGATGCAAGAGATGATGTAATGGGGAATCCCCGAATACGATAGAATATGAAAGAATCATGGGAGCTACTCACTCCTCCTGGACCGTGCATAATAATGAGCTAACGCTGCAGGGCCGTCGTTGATTGGTCAAATTCACCGACATAAACATTGAGTCGGTTACAACCCAGTCACATTTCCTACGGCGACCTTGCGGTCTATCATTTCTGCGGCCAGTAACATTTCTACGCTCGCCGTGGAATTTCTGCGCTCTCATACTTTTGCAGTCACATTTCCCACGGCAGCCGCACGGTGAATTTTAAAGTTCTGTTGATAAATAATACTTTTTTCATTTTATTTACATCGGGACAATTTATAAATGTTATTCATAGTGCTAGGATGTAATATCAAATGAAAAGTGATCGTGAAACATTGACAAATAATGATTTAATCTTGTTGAGCCAGTTGATTTCTACGGCGACCTCAGAAATGAACAAAAATTATAACTCCGAGTTATAATTTCTACGCCTTCTCTGCGGCCTGTAAAAATCTGCATACGCCGTACGGAGGCCGCAAGGTGAGCGTAGTTTTTCTACGCTCGCCGCAGAAATTCACCGATTTAATTGATCTGCGGTCGACTTGCGGCCGCCGTGCGACAAATGTGACTGGGGTGTAAAGCACGTGGCTTTCTCATTGCGGTCATAATAGATATCAAGATAAGTAAAAGAGACCGACCTGGGCAAGGCTAGTAGTTATGGTGCTATTTGAAAATTCAACCCCACATTTATGGGAGTAACCTTGACCCACCTGTGGCTACACTTTGGATAGAATGTTTAGTATTCCCACGCTGCAATATTTATGTTTCATCTATCGTGAACAGAATCTTTACAGGTTATTTACCAATCCCATTTCTTGCTCTGTATCATTTTGTCCTCTATTACTAATATCCCTTTTCCTGTGACATCTTTTAAATATTACAGACGGTTTGAACGATGGTAAAAATGGGATACAAGCGCACATTGATGTACGCTTTAAACAAGGTGTTATAAGTGGCAAATCGTAGGTCTTGTTCTCACTTTCTGCCATGCTGTCGTTTCTTTCCTCTTTCTTGATATCATGATCCTGTCTCCAGGCAACAAGCCCACGTTCTTCAGGTGTACCTAATGAAACATTTTTATATTTTAATTTGCATGAATAATAGATACATAGGGGTGTTATAGACACTGAACCACTAAAACAACTGAATACTAAGTCAAAGGGAACTTTCTACCATACCCGTCAGCTATCTAACCTGAATGAGTCACCTGGTGGTGAAACTGGTAACTACCGACTCGTATCTGTGTCATTATAGGAAATAAGGTTGATGTCCAATTTTAACAATTTTGTTAGTCAATTTTGCTAATCACTATGATTTAAGCATGTTTTAGGGTTATTGGGGTTAGAATAAGAGATATAACCCTTTTAATACATCATGGGCAATGGTAAATCTCATTTCGGAATTCTATACAGAAAACATAAAACTATATTATCTCCAGTGCATCCGTAAACCGGTCCATTTTTCAGAAATAACAAAATACTTCTATAATCTATATATTTGAAATTGGGTTAAATAGGGAACCTAATTATTGGCTTTACCAAGAAGACCTTTGTATATATATGGATATATGGATTTAGGTTAATTAAGGGTGGGAGCCAACTTTTAAACAAAAATGTTAACAAGGAGGAACAAATAATATTACCAAAAAGAAAAATGTATCAAAGAGCCGTAATCAATAAAGAGAATAAAACCAGGATCTAATGCATTATAAGAGATATATTCGAGCAACAAAATATAGTTATGATTAAATAACTTTATATAAGAGAAGTACTTGATAAAATCCTTGATTTACGATATGTGACGTGTTACTCACCAGGAACAGTGTTATCAAGTACAAATCCAAATGTCCCACCTACAAACATTGCTGTACCAAAGAAAACATCGAGTAGTTGATCAATCTCGGAACTCCCTGAAAAAAGAAGATTTCAAGGAAGTTCAAAATCCTGATATGAAATACCAGTTCATCAAGCTTGTTTTGGCATTTTTAAAATTGGGACAGACCTGTAGAACGATTCATCAAATCTGCAACTGATTGAATACACTGATTTAGATATTTCAAAAATAACATTAAAGTGCACTCCGCCACGTATTTACTAACTTATAGCCTTTTTTCTTTCATTAATCTGACTTTTACATCTGAGCTATTAGAGATAAAGACCAAGAGCTAGTCTTCCATATGTATGATGAAATCTGCTGTCAATATTTATTTCATGTTATGTTTCACATTTTCAAGTCAAGCTAGGTAAGGATGACATATTCTACAGGATTGAAAATTTACTTGACCTAAGACGAAATGAAGTGGGTTACCATTTTCTTATACAAATGCACGACAACATTACACACCTGTTTTGATGACACCTGGATGTAACTTCATCCACGTGGCTGACATCAAGCCTCCAAAAAGACTTGTTCCAAGAATCACATGGTTCCTTGTTGACCTCATATCAACATATCGAAGACTTGATAAGCCGAGCGCCGTAAGGAGAGAGAATAAGACAAAGATTGACCCACCCAGCACAGGGTCGGGGATACACGCCATGACAGCACCAAATTTGCCAAACATCCCAGCCAGTAGTATTATGCCTCCAGCTAGTTGAAAAACGATTCTGCTTCCAACCTACAAATGAAGATCTGATGTAGATAACATTATAACAACATATCTTAACCCAAAATAGTTATGCCCAGACAAAATGATGCACCGGCACACAAACTAAGTCACTGATTTATCGTGTACTTCAAGTAGCAAATTAAATGATTAAAACATCATGACTCAAAGTACAAACAATCAACATTGGAATCACACAATCTGGTTTTCTCTTTGTAAATTTCAAGAAATGCAAATTAAAGTGAACCATTCCAGTCCACAGCCTGCTAAAACAAGAACACATTAGCGGACTTAGAGTCCCTAAAATGGGCCATTTTGTGGGCTCCACTTATTCAAAAGTAGGCTCTATTCCTTCTGAAAATGTGCATTTTCAAAGAAAACGTGACTCAATCTTTGAGAAAACGTGGCCTTATATTTTCATTTAAACATCTCTTACATGTGTACATTAAGTCGTTGTCATCTAAAGTATTTTCAAAAAGTATCTAACTATTATCAATTTCCATGTTCGCAGCCCCTGAACACTTACTCTTGTTATTCCAATGGCACTGATATTGCCACTGTATGAAGTCGTTGCGTGACAAACACCAACTGCGCCAGAAATGAGACTAGCAATGCCTTCTATAAGAATACCTCGATTAATGGCGTGCTGTGGCGGCGGAGGGATATCACAAATTCTGGCCGCAGTGTTGTAGTCTGCAACCGACTCGACAATAGAACACAACACCGCTGCTAGGATACCAACAAACCCTCCAATGTTGAATGTAGGTCTTCCAAACTGTCCTACGTAGAAACAAAACAAAGCATTAACATGACAAAATGGCACCACCTTTAAATGGCAAAACTGATGCCAAATTGATGATAAAAAACGGTGGATATAACGATATTCTTGGTGATGGCACAATAAACATGCGCAATTAATAGATCAACAAAAGGCGCAAATGGTTTTATGGTTATGGATAACTTAATAACTTACTGTAACGAATATATCAGAGTTTGACAGTTTGAGAAACCGATTTAAATGAAACTGGTATACTGTGTACTTTAATACCCTCTATAAGACCTTCTACTTTTAGTCATCTGAAATGATTCCCAAGATCAAAACAATGTTACATTTATAATATTCTTTTGCACCACTCTCTGTACTTTTGCTTGAATATTTCGACTTACCAGGATATGGAAAAAAGAACCAAGAAGCCTCTTTGATGGACTGTACCCTTGCATCCGTTCTTGCATTGTATGTAGGACTGTTAGGGTCATCGGGGAACACGTTAGTAACTGTGAGGATGCCACAGAACCCCCAAGCAATACTAATGCCAAGGATATACTGCGAGGAAATGTATTGTTAATTTGTATAGATCTAATTCAGCAACTTCAACTCGTTCAAAAGTATGTGAATGCTGGAGTTGTGTTGTGTTGTATTCTTAGGAATGTATTCTTATCTGAGACTAACATAAAATGGCATGATTTAACTTACAGCGATGATACTAAACAGAGTGAAGCTTGAGGTGGTACACCCTTCTTTCCTATTGTAGGAGGGCACTGGTACTTTCACGCGACCAAGGTACACGGCAAATAGAAGAATAAGTGTAGCAGTCCTGCGTAAAGGAGAATACAGATACGGCATCACATTTTATGTAAAAATGTATACTAATTACTTTTTTTCATTTATCAAAACGCTTCTGTGACATAGAAACACGGCTTTGGATTCAAGTCTAAAAACGTCGACATTCCTACTTTTTACAGGTAACCGGACAACTCATCCCCTAGACGACTCATCCCTGGACTACTCATTCCCTCGACAACTCATCCCGTAGACAACTCATTCCCTGGACAACTCATCCCGTAGACAACGCATTCCCTGGACGACTAATCCTTTGGCATGTTTGAATTGAGTTATTTAATGTTTTATTGTCAATTCATATTTGATATTGAAATGATTTTTTTAATGTTTGGTTATGGATATGATCAGTTTTAAGTTTCAAAAACATATAAAACCTGAACACTGGTACTCCACTCGATTATGCTGTTACCGAAACGACAAAATGTCAGAGTCTCAACGATTTTCTTTTTCCTTATTTCATGAGTTGTAGACAGAATAGCTACAATATTTTTTGTCACAAATGTGTGTCAGTATTAATTGTTTTGTAAATATTTACTTTTAATTTAACTTTTAATATACAGTTTCAATATTATACATTCAATCATCAATGAGATCAGATAATAATTTCCCAGCCAGATTATCATCATTCTGGTACCAGGTTGAATTTAAATGCCAAAAACTCAACCTTGTACCAGAATGATGATAACCTGGCCGGGAAATTATTATGTGATCTTATTGATGATTTTGATTTCACCCAACTAATTAACAAACCTACTAGGTTCTCAAAAAACTCTCAATCATGGTTTTGGGATATATAGGGTCTACTTTTCTTATGACAGATTTACACTAACAGTTTGCTTTTCTTGTTGCGTTTCTTTAAAAGTTTTTAGTCACGCTTCCCTTTTGGCATTTGTGTTTATATATGCATTGATCATATTCTTACTGACTCACCTGATATTTTTACATCTTGGAGTATAACTGACCATATTGTATTGGAAGAGCAGATCACTGCACCATTGTATCATATTTAAAACTAAGCATCACAAAGGAACAGCCTGTTAGGAAAACTATTTGGAAATATGATTTGTGTAATCCTGAAAATTTAAACAATGCAATCCGAAACACCGACTGGCTTAAAATTATTGATTCAGACATTGATATTAATAATGTGACCTCACATTTTGGCAATTCACTTATGAATATTTACTCAAAATACATTCCAAATAAGAAAATCACTATCAAATCTAAAGATCAGCCCTGGTTTAATGAAAATCTTAGGCAAGAAATGAAAAAAAAGGAAACTCAAATCATCACCTACCACTCAATGGACATCTTTATGACAATCAATCAATCAAAGTAACGACTCTTATTACGAATCTTGAAGAATATCAAGATAAAAAAACGCGATTCCATTAATAACTTTAGTAAAAATGATAAGAATTATTGGAAACTAATAAGGCTGTTTCTCGGTAAAAGTGCTGATTTCCAAATTCCACCACAAAATCAACCGCCAATAACAGATAACCTTGAGAAGGCAAATGCCTTTCTCAAGCTGTTATCATCCAAAAATCATATGGATAATATCAATTTTGACCATTTACCTAATTTTCCTGACAGAACCAACTCTTAACTCATTTCAGTTGCGACCAATCCAGATGAATTGATAAAATTAATTTTGTCACTTGCCACTTCAAAAGCCAGTGGACCTGATATGATCATTAACAAAATGCCTAACCTCACAGCACACACAATATCAAGATCTCTATCTACCTTATTTAACAGACTATGTTCAAGAAATGTCTTTCCAGAACCATGGAAGGTGGGCATAGTTTGTCCAGTTTTCAAAAAAAGGTGACAAGTCTGACATTAACAATTACCGCCCGATTACCTTATTAAACACTATATCCAAATTGTTTGAAATGGTAATATCTGATCGAACCCGAACACATCTTACCTCTAATAATTTACTTTATAAACACCAGGCAGGTTTTCTTCCTGGACATAGCACACAAGCCCAACTTTTGACTATAGAACACTTCCTTAAGAATAATTTTGAAGAAGGAGAGGCATCAAAAGGAATATTTCTTGATATTGCATCAGCATTTGACAAAGTCCCTCATTACTTACTCATATTGAAACTCAAATCGTATGGTATAAGGGGACAGTTACTAAATGTCATAAAATCCTATCTCTCTGACAGAAAAATGTATGTAAATTTAGCTGGTGCTTCGTCTTCAATGTCGGAGGCCAATTTTGTCAATTGCGGTGTTCCACAAGGATCAATTTTTGGACCTCTATTTTCTATTGTACATAAATGATCTCCCAGATAAAATTGACACAGAGTGCTATATATATACGCAGATGATACTTCACTGCAGTTCTCTTATGACCCCAAAAATCCAAATGAGATAGATCAATCTGTAACCCGGTGGGTCAAGTAACCTGGAAGCGATTAAAAATTGGTCCAAATTATGGAAGCTCCAGTTTAAACCTGAGAAGAGCTGCGAAGTTATTTTCCATACTCCAAGAATGCAAATCAAAAACGTGACCACATCATTTCTCAATAACACTGAAATCAAAAGAATTGCAACCCATAAACATCTTGGTTACTGTTTTGACGAATGCCTCTCAAATATAAATCATATTGATGAGATTTGTACAAAGGTAAAAAGTTAGTTTGAGTTATCAAATTGTTTTACGAAAATGGCTGCCATTTTGTAATATGGTGGCCATCTTAAAAATGAGCTAGGCTCCTTTGTACCCAGGCAACAGCATATAAAGTTTGAACCAAATCCATCCACTAGTATTTGAGTTATCAAGGATTATATTATTGAAAATTCTTTCTCGAGCAGAGGTCCTACACCCATAAGGCATGAGCCTATACAATTTGAATGAAATCCGTCAACCGGTATTTACATCCTTAAATTAACTGTAAATACCAGTTTTATATACAGAGTACCTACATGTATCATAATATAGTGCTTTCTTTTATATGTAGTCTAGATGTCATTTTAATGATTTCTGTTAAACCGCAACATATACCCACAAGGGTGCCTAGCGGCTTGTTTTTTATAGTGTATTAGTTAATGAAAACACAGAATGAAATCCTGTGCTAAGGGCTGATGTGAAAAGGTCAGACAACAGCATATACAATTTGAAGCAAATCCATCCACTAGTTCTATATTCCCCTCGAACTTCGTTCGGTGGAATAATAACAAATCATTTTTATTTCGAAATTGTACGTTAGATTTCAGTAAAAATTAGGATAGATTCCCGTAGAAATAATCACAGGCTGGTATCGAAATATTTGTCCGCTGTGACGGAGCATACTATTTTTCATAAAAACACTAAGAATACTTCACGATTTATTTTTTAACTCATATGATTCGTTATACCATACAAAATTACTTACTCCATGCAATGAATATATCATTTGCGGGTAACTTTCACTTCTGTTTGAAGTCCAATTACGCTGGGAAGAAAAGCTATTGAAAATGGCGCCGGAGTATCATACTTCAAAATGTACCATTTCTTGTTTAACTTTCTAATGGCACGATATAGTGACACGATAATATTTACACATGGTTTCAGCATAACTATGAAGGTATAAATGAGATGTTGATGTATTTGGTCTTTTTAATTCTTTTATAAAAAATAATGTTTACATTTTTTGTCCGCTGTGACGGAGCAGTTGCAAATGTGAACTGTGAAAATGCTCCGTCACAGCGGACAAAAAATATTAATATTATTTTTTATTAAAAAAACTAAAAAGACCCAATGCATTAATATCTCATTAATACATTCAGAGGTATGCTTAAAACATATGTTAATATTATCGTGTCACTATATCATGCCATTAAAAAGTTAAAAAAGAAATGGTACATTTTAGAGTTTGATACTCTGGCGCCGTTTTCAATAGATTTTACTCCTAGCGTTATTGGACTTCAAACAGAAGTGAAGGTTACACGCAAATGATATATCCATTGCATGGAGTAAGTAATTATCTTTGATATAACGAAACATATGAGTAAAAAAATAGATCGTGAAGCATTCTTAGTGTTTTTATGAAAAACAGCATGCTCCGTCACAGCGGACAAATCTTTCGATACCAGCCTGTGATAATGCGTTTGTTAATGAAAGGCCAGGAACCTAAGGCAGGACAATTAAATCGTGAGGAGACAGTCATACCCAATTGTGCTTGCCTTTCGTTGAAAGGAACAACATCGGTAAAGAAAACGTTGCCTACGATTGACATTCAAAATCGAATTATTAATATTTAAAGGCTACAAATAGTCGGTTTTACATGATATGGTCGGTCTTTTACGCATTTTCTTCAAACCCTGTTTGGAGGCTACCAGTGGAAAACACTGACCGGTCAGTGGTCGGTGGGGTCAGTCGCTTTTCGTATACCTCTTTTATTCTCTGGAGTTGCAGTATTAGTATAGGTGTTTCAAATGGTGAAATGCCTGAGCTGCATGTATCATTTGTGAAAGCACTTGGACCAATCGATTTATCTTCCTCTTTGGTTGTATTGGAATACATGTAATAATTGACTCTTAAAATATACCAAAAGTATAGCATAAAGGTCCACAATGCGTACAAAAAGCCGTGGTGTGTACCTGTATGCCATTGTCTTTGTATGAGAGCACATAAAATATAACAGAGTTCCTTCTTGGAGGGGTTTATGGGTCTGTCTCTCGGGATTTATTTCGTAAATTACGACCTTACACCTAAGAGGTTTTGATCACCTTCATCGTTGGTTAAAATACATAGAGATTATCCTATATGAGGTTCAGGATATTAGGATTATCCCGAGGCAAATATAATACATTTGCCCGAGGGCCGCAGGTCCCGAGGGAAAATATATTATATTGGCCAAGGGTTAATCCCAATATCCTGAACCGACTATAGGATAATATGTTTATCCCTTACCAATCTTGGTCATCTGGTTCACATTGTTCAATCGTGGAAATATTTTAGAATATTCATGTCCATTTTGTTTTCTTGGCCGTGGGCGGATTTTCCTGTTCTCTCAAATACTCTCACATTTATGTTCTCGATTTTTTGATTGATTAAGTGGATGCTCCTTCCCTTTTTAACCATCAAACAGATCCCGATTGTCTGTGTTTTCTCCATTATCGTTTACAGTTATTACGCGAACGTTACAAATTATGAACAAATATGCGAGCGGCGATTATGACGTAGCGGGCAGATATACTATATCTGCCCGCTCGGAGCAAGGGCGTTACAATACCCGGGAATTTATCGGTTCGTGCAGTACTTGTTTGTGATAGCGCCCTCTGTAGGTCACTGTGCTTATAGCCTACAGTAATACGGGGTAGGATATCGGGAATTCGGTCAGTTTCTATCCGTCGATTTCGCTATGAATTGAAGCAAGTGTGACCACTTTATCCACTTAAACAATTTGATAATTGATTAAATATTTAAACAAATTCGATAAACACGTTATACACTTCATATCTCCTTAGAAATTAGCATGTATTTATGGATTGTGTTTTCGAACAAGGCTCGACCCAAACCAATAGGGAAATCCTTATGCTAATTAGTATGACGTCATATTTTCCTGGGGAATCCTAGATTTCAAAGCCTCAGTCTGTTATTGTGTCAAATGTAAACGCTCTTTTTCAGACAGAAAATTGACAGATTAGCTTTTAACTTTCAGCTTTGATGTTTAAATATTCTGTATTTCTGCCGGACTTCTTGCTGAATATCATATAATGTTATAACTTGATTTGGATCATTGCCTGATTGCTCATTCTGAAATTTTGATTGTGATTCATGATTGATTGGCAAGAAAAATAATTCCTATTGTTTTCCAGCGAAGTCAAAATGTTACAGCATGAGTTATAATGTCGAGTTTGCATCATGTTAAATTCTGCTAGTGATTAGAAGTCCATGCACAAGCATACACATAAGAGACAAACACACCCAGGCTCCAGGCCGTGGATGGAAATATAAAACTATTTAAGGCACAAACTGGTATTATTAGACCGATATGTAGTGTCTGCCATGTATTGAAGGTAAACCAATCTGCATTATTAATGTTTCTTCTATCAATACATGGATTGTGCAATGGAAAAGCAATGGCACAATCAAAAATGTGCATATCAATCGTGAATATCTCTCGGTTCAAAGCTTATTTCCAACAGAATCGTGTCAAAATATGTGTCTGAGTAACAGTTATACATTATAAGATCGCAAACTCTCTCCAATTATCAGCCGAATGGCTCATTTTCAACGAAATGTCCTTAAGACATCAGCCCTGGGTCGCGCCTAAGACCAAAAACTATTTCAAATAGCCCTCCCCTAATTTTATTGGATAATCACATTTATGCGTGCGCGCGCAGCTCATCCACTGAACGAAACGCCACTTCCCGCTGAAATCACCGGGTATTGATCTTTCCCTTGCTCGGAGCGGGACGTAAAGCTATATCTGCCCGCTGATGAAAATATAAGTTTTTACAAACCTGCTTTATGTACCTGTAACACGTCCAAGTATGGGTTAAAATACAATAACCAATAGGTGCGTACAGGTCAACAGTTTGTAATTACTTCTTAAATTATAGTTGTCTCAATTTTTTTGTAATAGAATAACAAAATATGGATAAATTTTCGTTTCTTTTAAAGGTGCAAGAATAAGTGCAGAGGGGCCATTCTACGTTCATGGACCAGTGTCAAAATATATTGAAGTTTGGATATTTTATCAAGACTAACATATATTTTCATTTTCTGCAAAGAAGCCCCGCGGATAAAGATTATTTCAGTTGATATTCCTCTTGAAACGCGATGGATCTTAAAATCTATAAGTGGGACTCCCTTAGTAGAAGCTTTGAACTGAATTACGGTTCTTAATGCTGAAATAGATAATTTATCCATACATTTAAAAAAATAGGTATGTCAAAGAAGATGTTAAGCAAAATGTTGACCTGATGGTTCAGAAAAAGTAATGTCTTATTGCTATTGAAAAATGGTGTGATATAGTTTCTTGCAAAATTGGGAAAACACACATTTAACTCCCTGTCAGGTTTAGGGTTAATATTTGAATTCATTTACAGTATAAAAGAGCTTAAAGTCTCCGATAAATCGGACTACGTATACCGCCGTGTTTACATTAGGGGATTAGAAGAGTTTATTTTTATTTAGGTATGCAAGCAATATCAATATTAGGCCTTCATGCATGTACTCGTGTGTACAATCAGCATGCCCTTCAATATTATATAAACCAGGCTATCCAAGTACTACATAATGTACACTATTTATGTGTGTACTACATGGGAATACGATTCCCTGGGAAACAAAACACAAATACTTTTTATATGTTCAAAATGAGCCATTTGATTGATGCCTACACTTATAGCTCAATGATAACATCTACAAAGTATATCTAATAGTAATTTTCAATTTCAATTGTGAAACTTGCCTGTTTACGATTATACGGGAAATCAACATGGGACGAAGATAGTTCACCTTCCTGACTTACCTCTGAAGCCTGTACCTTGTAATCTCTTTATATAGGTTAGCGAGAGCGCTGCGCCTGGGCAGTTTTAAACTTTGGCGCACACTTTAATACACGGATAATGACTACAAGGCTCTTATTCATTCACAATTCACAATGTTCAAAGTTATGCACTAGATGTTTTTGATATATATTTCAAAAAGGAATGAATGACAAGCATACAGGTGCTACTTTAAATCATTAAGATCCGATAGAAAATAACAATAATTCTATACCATTTAACATAAATGTGATAGATTTGACTACTCTGACATTTTTGTGTCAATTATGTCAGTAATGACGTCACAATTGAAACGCTGGTGAGCTTTTTTGCTTAAATTATACTTCATCAGAAAGGAAAAAGCATTTCATTTGATACCAAACATTAAATTATCTGACGAAAAACGAAAGCGATACACCAAGAAAAAAGGATCAGTTTCAAAACAACTTTTTGATTGTGCATGTTACGCTTTTGGACTTAAAGAAATTTATTAGACCGAAATGGCATATTTTATACATCATTTTAAAGCTGGTATCGTACTCTTACAAATGAATATGAAAAATAGAAAAATACATCGTAATTAAATAACGGGACCTCTATATAGGTACACAGGTAAGTTTTATGTTAAAATCTTTTAACAATTGTCAATAATGACGTCACAGTGGTTATGCAAATGAGCTAATTTGCATAATCCATACTTCTTTGTAAAGATGCCATCACGAGTTTCATTTGATGCCCATATTTTAATCATCTGATAGAAAATAAAAAAGATATATGGGAATACATATTTTATCGTATTATGGAAGTTATTTATAGCGTCCGTTTCCATGGTAACAGTCCGAGTAAAAATTCTGTTAAACCTCAAATTTGCAATGCATGATATCAGAGCTTTCCAATGGTACCAATATTTTGCTGGGGTTCGGTAAAATATTATAATTTCAAGGCTTTGGAGGATTTTATTACTCGTCTAGTATCCTTTTGGTAAGCAAGGAAAAATCAGAGCCTTACACTGACTTGTTCTGGTGTGAAATAAAACTTGGTGCGGGGGTACGTATGATATGTAATAAATTACTTGACCTAGTGTTATTGGACTGTCCCAGAGTGTACTTACAGAAAGGCGATGCCCCATTGAGATTGACTGTTAAGATAGGCCGCATCTGTCAATGATAAACCAACTAGAGCGATGACCGGTGTTATTGTTAAAGGTCCTACAAACTTCAGTATTAATCCTAGAATCCCACTTGCTCCTATCACAATTTGAACAAGTGACGCCATCATTAAACATCCTGAAACCTGAGATGAAAGTCCATTTAGTTCTTTAGTACAGACGAAATGTATTTCACAACGCAATTGCCAAAACACATCTGAGCATTATTCGATTTAAATCTTTTTTAGTCTTATTCACACATAGCTAGGCAAGGTGTATCCGATTCCAGCCAATCAGAGTATTCACATAATGAACAGTGTGTGAAATATCTATAACGCATGTTGTGTACAGTTGCTAAGCTCTCAGATGTTGTTTTCTAAACTTTGCATTCCCCCTTCGGGGTCATGCGAAGATTTGGAAACAACATCTTTGTGTAATGGTTCAGCACAAAATGCACTAAGTCCAAGGCTTTAATCCTTTAATCATCATTATTAAAATTTACAAACTCAGCAAGAAATGTGGCAAATGACATCGACACTGCATTTACCTCGGATGCTCTTAGCTTCCACATCTCTGGATTATAAGGCTGTGATGTATTTTCCACAATTGTCATGTTCAAAGGATCTAAAATAAAAAAACAAATGAATAAACGAGAAGTGACATTATATATATACACAATTACAACTGTAGCTGTTAGGCCTGATCTGATAAAAGAAATACAAACAGATCAAATTGCGAGATGTCTTTGCGGACCAATATATCCCATTATGGACGGAAATGTGGCTGATTATTGGATCAGACAGAAGTTGAGCCATTTTAGCATATCATTTAGCAAATCGAACGCTCGTTTCTGGTGTTGCTCACCGTTTAGTATCAAAGGCCCGATCCCGGAATAATACTCAAGGGTTCACAGGTTCGAGGTCGTTGTGTCAACACCTCTAACTGTTATATAGCATAAGTATATTATAGATCGTCACACATTTATAAAAGGGTGATTTTTATTTTGACAAATCAATTCCACATTTATGGGTGAGGTTTCAGGATCTTCTATTTGTGTATAATAAGGAAAAATTGGCATCTTTTCCCCATAACGTAATAGCACAGACGTTGGCATATGAAATATCCTACAAATGAAACAAAGCAAGACAAACCGGTTTCTAATACAAGAATTTATATTGGCTGTTGTACATGTATTATTTGAACGCAATCACTCTTTGGATAACGTTTTCAAAATCATTATAAACGGATTACTTTATCTCAAAGACAATTTCAATAAACTGGATTTTACAGAACTCCCCTTATTTCTTAAAAATGGACTGATCCAGTTGATTCGCCTGGAGCCGCCATATTGTTTTTATACGGGATGCTAATCGGAACCCTTTAAGTATTCGCTAACAGGAATCTAACAGTAATTCCCACGCCTCTACCACCAACATGCGACTTACTTGTGCCCGTACTATTGACAGCAATTGCAAGCGAGATGTGATCTACGGACTTGCATCTCAATTTTTCCAACGCCATGATGGCCGCTATGGCTGGAAAGAAAGAACTGGAGCCACCTTGGATTATCGGTAACCTGCAACAGAAAATACACATTGTACATGTGTATAAGATGTTTTTAAAAATTGCAATGGTTTCAATTCCTGATATTTATCATTTATAATTTACTGTCCTTACCCATTTCAGGGATAATTTGTTTGTTCAATGTCGCGCAGTTTGTTGTTATTATAGCAGTCGATTCTTTTTACGAAAACCATAATGTTTGACACTAAAATACCTGACTCCAAAGGTACATTGGAGAATTGTAGCTAATCCCGCCATACAAAGAGATGTGGAGACGATTTGTGATCTCGCATCCACGTCATCCGAGGCACAAATCATGCTGACGATTATCAAAGGCTGGATGATACATCCCGAGATCGATAAGATCGCTTGCTGAAATAATTGCATTTTGAGGTTGTTAAATTGAACAGTGAGGAGGGAGTCTGGTAAAAGACCCGGGGTAAAGGCTTGGCCTTGCTCTCAGGGTGTTCATTGCGACTGTCCCTCTCCTTTCCATAACTAGTATAATGATTGGAAATAATCTTTGATAAGAGAATTCATGATCACTGTTCCACAGCTAGATGACTCTAACTGCAGTTAGTTTCATTCAAGATGGTTGCCGAGATTCTTTCGTTTTCGATAAATGCGTAATTTGTTTAGCATCGTTCATAGGACATACAGGTCCTCATGCCCCGTCCTCACGTCAATCATCCGGATGGATCAACATGATTGTATTTGTCGCACGCAATATTGTATACGCAATATTGTATCTGTTCTATTCGAATGAATCGAGCGACCAGTGAACATTAATTTCCCTATAGCTATTATATACCATGCCTTCAACCAGAGGAAAATCAAAAATTAAAAAAACAAACTAAAAAGAAAACTGCGAAGACGCCCTACACGAAAACGACACATAGCTCTGATAAGACAAATAATAGTGAACTCAAAGAGACAGTAGACTCTAACTATATAGCAGCAGTCCCCATAAAATGCAAAATACCCGTATTAATAATTTGACTTTAACTGATTCTTGAATTGAGGTGAACTTATCGAAAGCTCTTTAAACGCCAAATACCTAGGTATGACCTTGAAATGACGTTGACCAATAAACATCAACTTTGACCTCAGGTCATCCAATCATGAGTCGCCAAGGGTCACAGTGTCTTTTAAGAACTTTAAGCACCAAATACTTCGATATTGACCTTGATATGTCCTTGACCAATATAACATTGACCTTGACTATTAGCTAATCATTGGTCGCCGAGGGTCTCAGCAGCCCCCATTGTCCTTAAAATACTTAGATATCGACCTTTGACCTTGATATTGCATTGACCAAAAACCATTGACCTTAAACCCAAGTCACTTAATCGCTGGTTTTCAAGGGTCCCAGCAGCCTCAGGGACCTTAAAACACAAAATACCGTAGATAGTTGACCTCGGAATAAACTTTACCTTAAGTATATGTGGGCCAAAGGAGGAGATGGCGTGACCTAATACAAAGCATGTACTCTCTGTCTGTCATTTTGTCTGTCTGTTCGGAAATCTCCTTCTACACCATTGGTACCTGTTACACTGCTGGGTTGAGTCTAACGAAGCATTTTTGTCACGAAGGTTAGCGAAAAAATTGTGTCCACACTGGCTTTATCCAACCCTAACGAAGCAATTATTTGGTGTTACACTGCACTTAAAATGCTTCGTTGCGCGTGCGCATTACTCATCTGCCCCACTCACTTATTTATTAATATTTTTTATTCTTTTGATATAAGTCAATGATCAAACTCAAAAATATAATTTTTAATCTTTATTTTAACAATTCAGCACAGAAAACGACTAGTTAAAATTCTCGGGAAAATAAAACCAGACGAATGTGATCATTTCGTACATCGATACATTTTTCCTATCATTTCGATTTTTATATATTTCAGCTTTTAATACGATTAAAAGTATTTTTTTCATTTTTCTATCATTTCTTTTGGAAAACGTATGGAATAAAAATAGGCCTATGTTAATTACTAGGAGGAATTCGATTTGGGGATTATACAGAGGACTAGTATGTAATATCGTATAAAAACGTTCAATTTCCAAATGGACTTCTCAGTCATAATTCAAATAGTGTAGCCATTACTAAAATATCTCGGTGCTCTTTATTACGCGCATGCGCAAACCGCCAACTAAGCATTTCCTAACGAAGCTACCTGTTATACTGGCAAAAAAAACTTCGTTGGGATTTAACCTTCGTTGAATTTTCTACTCAATTACTTCGTTATCAACTAAGCTTTTCTAACGAAGGCGGAGGTGTTACACTGGCCCAAAATTGCTTCGTTACGGTCCTGTGTAACAGGGGTCCATTTAACCTTATAGTAAGTGGATTGAAGGGTTTTCTCCGAAGGTAAGAGTCAAGTTCATTCAAAGGTAAACAATCATGTCTAGGTTTACTCACTTCGAGAGCCATGTTAGATTTTGAAACTTATGGCTCTCAAACGGGAAAGTGAACAGCTGATCAATAGTGACCTTTGAAATCGAATTAAGTCGATCAGCGGCTTACTTTTGGTCTCTAACTGTGTCTTACATCAGTATCATCAATCCTTGTAAGTATTGGAGCGCTGGAGTACTTCTTTTTCGATCAAGACTTGTAAATTGTTCATCGAGTGAAAGTTTTTTAGACCTATTTCCAATATGGCGGTTCGCTAGGAGCGAGATACGCAACGAACGAAATGAATTTTGAGAATTTGTTAGGTTCGGACAACCTCCGGAGATTTACGAAAATGTCCGAGCAGAAACCGCCATATTGGAATTTGGCAGTAAAACGATTCACTCGACTAACAATTACAAGTCTTGATCGAAAAAGAAGTACTCCAGCGCTCCAATACTTACACGGATTGATGATACTGATGTAAGACACAGTTAGAGACCAAAAGTAAGCCGCTGGTCGACTTAATTCGATTCCAAAGGTCACGATCATCGAGCTGTCCAAATGCTCCGTGGGAAAGCTATTATATCAAAATCCAAATAGCTTTCGCAGGAAGTCTAGGTATTTTGCGTTTAATGATACTATGTTCATCTCAAGGTCAAAGATGAATATCTAGGTATTTTGCGTTTCAAGGCCTTTGGACGAATTCGATTCAATTCAAAAATCGGCCAGGTCAAAAAATCAATATACAGGTATTTAGTATTTTTTTATAAAGATGTATACAAGTTAAAATGTATATAGAGATAAAATAGGTTAGCTTCTATCGTTTCCTTGTGTATAAATTTATGTCTCTGCGTAATAACGCAGATGCGAGTAGGTAGTTACCAGTTCCACCACAAGGTGGCTCGTTCGGGTCAGATAGCATGGCGGGTATGGTAGAAAGCTCCCTTTAACTTAAAGTACATCCGTTTTGGTGGTTCAATTTTCATATCACCCTTATATATCTAAAAGCATAATGCAAATTAAAATATGTGCAGTGAAAAAATGTTATCTGTCCAATACAATGTAATCAGGCTATTTCATATTTCAAATTTCATATTGATCAATCCCCATTTGTTTCTTTATTCATCTTTACAGGTCCTTTAATCCTAGCGCATCAATTACTTTTACACCCAGTATTTAGGGATATTTATAACCATGTTGTTTGCCAGTGGCTTGTATATATATTCTATTGTTTGAACCAGTTTTGTATGTTGTTTCATGCTGTGTTTGTTTTTACATTTCATTCATGTCGTCGTGTCATAAAAAATTATATGTAGGTCACGCTCACCTACTCATCTGTTTGGGTGTTGTCTGTTTTTGTATGCAGTAGTTGAGGAAGTTAGGACAGCTAAGAACTATGAACTTTTAAAATAGATATTTTATATTTTATATCTTGGACTTTGTTGATTTTTATCTGCCGCCCACGGGCTTTATATTGCCCATTTACAACAAGAATAGATATATCACTTTTTGTGATTTTGTATCGATGGGATCTTTGGGGAATCTCTCCGAACTAAAAGTCCCATTTTCCCCAAAAATTTAAATTTCAAAGCTGATAAACAATTTCCGAAACCATATTTCTAGATTTACTTTTACAAGTAGCTTTCAAATATGACACCACTTTGGCTGAATTTTGAATATTCAAAGACGCAAATCAAGATAATTTCTACTCGCATCCAGTCAATTACTAGGATAACTGACTGTTAGTACATGTGTTTAGAAAGTATTGGTTATCGAATGAAATAAAACCATCTCGCTGCGATAAACAATAAACAATGGCTAATTTACTGATTTGAGTTCAATGTTATAACAATGTCGATTTTTTTGTCACATTTGACGGATGTAATAGGCTGTACTTATGGTCGCACAAAGTCTTGCCAGCAGGTATCAAGATAAAGAGCAATAAGCTTCCCCATGGAAATAAAGGCTCATCCAAGCGCACTTAAATCTTTTAATACCGCTTTGCAAACGTTGTCAGTAGTCTCGTTACGGTGAATCACTGGTTCAGTGCCATTTCAATTATGCCTTGGTCACATTTGCTCCGATTTTCACTACGGCGCCCGGCCGATTGAGTATTGTGTTCAAAATTGAATACAATATTGAACAAAACACTCAATCGGCCGGGCGCCGGCCGATGAATCGGAGCATATGTGACACAGGCATTAACTTTGATGTCCTTGTGCGCTTGGATGAATCGGTTTTGTTAAAAACAGGCTATCATGTAATTCACACAGTGGGGTCCACTGATCTTTTTCAGGATTAGGCTCATTAAGTGCTGTGCAAGCAAACTAACTCTACCTACCTCGATCGCGCATGAACAAGAATTTTGGGTACTGTTGAATATATCGACACGTGTACGTGTACTTAAAGGATATTAATTCGAAATTGATATATTATGAATTGTACCCAGTTGACATAGATAGTTCCTAATTTGTAAACCTCATCCAACAATCAATGAAACTCCCTAAATTACAAAAGGCTACAGCTTTGCTGCATATTATACATAACTATCTGAGATATACAAAAGTTAGACCTTAAACTATTTTTCCATATTCTGTTTCAATATAGTCATATATTGTCAGGGAAATTTGTATCAGCGTTGAAAAAAAATGTTCCAGAAAAATACGTATTAGTGCTATGACATGACATGACAGGATATTAATGAAATCCAAAATGTAACATTTGGTCGATTCCACAGGCTTAAAGTTTAAAAACGCATTACATATATCTAAAGATTTTACACTGTCTTTATCAATGAACTTCATAGATCTAGACGTCCTTTTGACGTTTTGAAACAAACTAACGTCTTGTTTTCAAACCTACACACCTTGCCCATTCTGTCGTATTTAATGAAGGAAAAACAAAATATAACGGAGAGATACGAACCACTCACCTGTTATTCACTAGCACCATTGTCATTTACCTATTCTGGATACAAC